AAATGAGGATAAAGACACTGACAAAATTGCTCTGCTTATGCAAGACTTGTTTTTTCTGTGGCTCATTCTTTCCCCAGATGAGTTAAAACCGTTGATAAGGCTGTAGGTTGGTGGGGTTTTTCATTCCTCAGTGTTTTTTTAATTCAAGTGTAATTAGAGTTCTGGGCAGTTTTTCCTTTGGCGTAGATTATATTTGTAGTTCTAGGATTTAATGGGTCTCTTTTGTGTGTGCAAAGAGCTAATCTAATTTATTATGTTTTGATTTTGCTCTTTTAACTCGAGTTTCTGCTCCCTTTGTACTGAATACAACTTGTGCTCAACCTGTACAATTTAGCTTAAGTGTCTTTGCCTTGGTGCACATCTTCTTGATGTCCTTTTTCCCTCCCAGTTGGATTTAGATTCCTCTATTCTTTCCTCTCATGTCAGCCTGTGCTTCTATGCCCCTTTCTCTCATACTCTTCTGTAGTACCTGTAGCACTCCGATAATTTATTTCCTCCTCTTTCTCTGTCATCAGACTATAAGCTTTACAGGAATAGCAGGTACACGTTATTAAACTTGGTGTCTCCAGCTGCTACTTCTGTGTCTGGTGGTGGAAAGTAGTGACTCAGTGAATGGATGGCTGGATAGACGTGTGAAATGAAAATGATATTTATGCTGAGCCCTAAAATGATCAGTACAGTGATCTGGGGGAAGAAAAGCTATTGATAGCTATTCTTAAGGTGCAACAGACATTTTTCTCAATCTTACTTGTCCACTTTTAGGACACTGACAGATGTCCTAGGAAAGGTGAATATGGAAATCAGATTGCAGCTTAGTGTGTCTCCTCGATGCTTCTGTCCTAACTCTATATTGTGATTAGTACTTGAAAACATGCTCATGAAAACAGCAGTATTCCTCAGTACACGTTAATTAGGACATGCTCCTAATCTCTTACAGTCTTGTTACAGTTATTTATTGCTGAGTAACAAACCACTCCAAAGCCTAGTAATTTAGGGCAATAATACATCATTCTCCCAGATCTGAAATCTGATGAAGGCTCGGCTAGGTAGTTCTGCTTGACTCGCTATGTGCAGGGGCTGGAATGCTTTCTCGTTTACACTGGGGCGCCTCTACCAGGTTGGCTAGAACCAGTTGTGGGCTGGTGGGGCATCTTTCTATATCTGCCCTTTCCAGATGGCTAGTTTGGACTAATAGCAAAGGGGTCTCCATTAGTAGAACTTTTTATGTGTCATTGTCTTCCAAGAAGGAAGAACAGAGCTGCTAGTTTGCTAAGTTCAAAACTGGCAGAATGCTGGTCAAGCCAGCCTAGATTCAAGGACAGGGAAATCATCTCGATCTCTTGGTGTGAGGAAAAGCGTGCATATGTAGGGAAGGATAGCAGCCATCTAGCTAAAAGAGATCATCTAACACATCCAATTTTATATACAATAAGAAATAGACCTAAAAACAACATTGCAGCTAGATACGTACTACAGAAGTATGTCTCATTTAAGTGAATGGTTTTTAAGAAATGCATTAAGTTTCTTTGGATAACATCTCCAGGGGAGCGAAGGGCTCTTGTTGGAAAACTACGCTTTGTCAAAATTGGAGCTAGGACTTGATCAGTTAATGGACTCAAACCTAGTACTCTGGTCCTGGTGGGTAGTAAATAACCACACAGATGGTTGGTTTAATTATGCCAGTGCTGTCTTATCTGTTAAGGGTCATGTCTCTCTTTAATGATTAAAGTTGCTTTCTTCTTAAAGTGAGAGCATACCAGCACTCACTCTGATCTACAAGAATCAAAAAGATCTGGATCTTGTTTCTCTCACCTTAGAGGCGTTTGGAAAAGTGTCACATAATTAAAGTTTCTTGATTAGTAATTCTACTGGGAAAATGTAATAAATGTTCTCTTTTGACTGTGCTGTGATAGGAAATGGGCTGGAAATGCCTCTAATAGTCCCATTTCTAGACCTGAGCATTTCCTGAACATTTTGAAATTATAATAATTATATTATAATATAAAAAATATAAAAATATAAAATATAAAAAATATAAAAATAATAATATATTTTAAATAATATATTTTAAAAAAATAAAAAATATAAAAAATATAAAAAAAATATTTAAAAAAATTATAATAATTAGTTTCAAAAATCTTGATAAACTCAAATACATCAAGATAAGTAGGGCTATAGAGTGAATCCTTCCTTGAAACATACACAGTTTCTTGAACAAGTCCCCTTTTCTTATATTATTCTTGATTTTTAATAGTTTTGACAACCTCTTAGGATCACTTGATACTTAGAAACTTTTTGAATAGATTTGCCTCTTCAGTGCTTATTGTCACATATCTCTGTGGTATTTCATGGGAACAGGTGGAAAATAAGGGTTACCATTTGTGATATTTGTAAAGAAACCAAGAGCAAGGGCCTACAAAGCCCTTTTGGAGACTGAATGAATTAGTAATTCACCCATGAAGGCCTTCAGTGGAATCACAAAAGACCCCAAGTAGCCGAAGAGATCCTGAGAAAGAACAAAGCAGAAGGCATCACATACCCTGTTTCAAGCTCTACTTAACAAAACTGTACTCATCAAAATGGTGCGGTACCAGGTAAAAACAGACACAGGCCAATGGAACAGAACCTAGAGCCCAAAATAAACCCAAGCATATGCAGTCAACTAATACTTGACAAAGGAGCCAAGAATACTGAATGTAGAAGAGATGGTATATGGTGCTGGGATAATGGGCTGTTCCCATGGGAAAGAAATGAAACTGGCCCCATGTCTTACACTACTCATGAAGATGAATTCAAAATGGATGAAAGACTTATACGTAAGACCTGAAATCATAGAACTCCTAGATGAAAACACTGGAATAAAGCTCCTTAACATGGGTCTTGGTAATGACTGTTTGGGGGGTTCCGATATCTTAAAAAGCAACAAAATAAAAAGTAAACAGGTGACCATACCAAACTCCAAAGCTTCTGCCCAATAAAACAAAACATCAGTATAGTGAACAGACAGCCTATTGAATGGGGAAAAAATTTGCAAATCATCTATCCAGGGGTTAATACCCAAAATATATGAAGAACTTATGGATCTCAGTAACAAAAAAACAAATAGCCCACATTAAGAAGGACAGAGGACCCGAGTAGACATTTTCCCAAAGAAGGTATACAAAAAGCCAACAAGTACATGAAAATATGTTCAATAGCACTAATCATTAGGGAAATGCAAATTAGGATCACAATAAGATATCTCTTGGGGCACCTGGGTGGCTCAGTGGGTTAAGCCTCTGTCTTCGGCTCAGGTCATGATCTCAGGGTCCTGGGATGGAGCCCCACATCGGGCTTTCTGCTCAGCAGGGAGCCTGCTTCCTCCTCTCTCTCTGCCTGCCACTCTGCCTACTTGTGATCTCTCTCTGTCTGTGTCAAATAAATAAATAAATAAAACCTTTAAAAAAAAAAAGATATCTCTTGTGTCTGCTAGAATGGCTGTCATCCAAAAGATAAGCAATAACAGAAATGAATAAAGCTATTGTGTAACATGTTAAGAAAGAAAAAAGAGATAATAGTTGCTGGTATGGATGTGGAGAAAAGGGAACCCTTGTGCATTGTTGGTAGAATTATAATTTAGTGCAGTCATTATGGAAAACCGTATGGAGGAGCCTCAAAAAATTAAAAGTAGAACTACCATATGGCCCCCAGTAATCCCCCGTCTGGGAATATATCCAAAGGAAATTAAAACATTAATTCAAAAATGTTTATAGCAGCATTATTTACAGTAGCCAAGACATGGAAACAACTTGAGTATCCATTGATAGATGAATGGATAAAGAAGTTGTGGTGTATATTTACAACAGAATAATATTAAGCCATAAGAAATGAGGAAATCCTGCCATTTGCAGCAACATGATGGACCTTGCCGGCATTTTGCTAAGTAAATAAGTCGGACAGAGAAAAACAAATACTGTGTGATCTCACTTATATGTGGAATAAAACAAAACAAGATATAAGTCATAGAAAAAGAGATCAGACTTGTGTTACCAGAGGTGGAGGGTAGGGGGAGGAAGAATTGGAAAAAGGAGGTCAGAAGGTCCAAACTTTCAATTATAAGATAACAACTAGGGGTGTGGTGTACGACCACCGTGATGATGACCACCGTGAATATGGCTGAATGATAGATGGGAAAGTTCTTGCGAGAGTAAATCCTAGGAGATTTCAAGGATCACAAGGAGAAAGTTCTTTTTACCTTTCCTTTTTCTGTTTATTGTATTTATGTGAGAAAAGTGGATGTTAGCTGAACCTGTCATGGTCCTCATTTCACGAGAGATGTAAAGCAAACCATCATACTGTATGCCTTAAACTTATACACAGTGATGTCTGTCTATTGTTTCTAAATAAAACTGGAAAAGAATATGTAGATGTGATGAGAGTTGCACAGCAGTGTGAATGTACTTAATGCCCCTGAACTCTACACTGAACATGGTTAAAACAGGGTGCCTGGCTGGCTCAGTCCATGGAGCTCGAGACTCTTGATCTCAAGGTCATGAGTTCGAGCCCATATTGGGTGTAGAGTTTACTTAAAAAAAAAAAAAAAATCTTAAAAAAAAGGTTAAAATTGTAAATTTTATGGTATGTCTGTTTTACACTAGAAAAAGGAGGTTAAGACAAGCAAAAGGCAATGTAGTGGGACTAGATCAAGCACTTGGGGTTGCGGAGTATTAGGGATTCTGAAAGGGACCCTTACTCTTCCTGGTGGGGAGGAGCAGAAGGGCTCCCTGGAGGGGTCACAGGGTCCCCGACCAGGAAAGAAGTGGGGGCCATTGCCCTGCACACAACTCTGAACTTTCTGGTACCCAAAGGGATCTGTTGTACGTGACCCAAGGAGGAGGAAGCACAGGGCTGGCAGAGACCGGAGTGACTGTGTCCCTGTTGGGCCCTGCTGCACCCTGAGGCTGGCTGGCACCTTTCCATCTTGGAGTAACCAAACTCTCTGCCTGCGCTTTCCCCCGCAGACGGCCACTCTGAGAAGACAGGGGCGGTACATGTGCTCCACGGTTCCCACAGACGCACAAGAGGAAGCTCAGAGCCTGTTTGTTACCGAGGTAATGCGCCGCACACATCACCGTAAAGCCACTTTTTGCTAACACTCCCCGTTCTTTAAATTTTAATGATATTTTCAAGAAAGTCTCAGAGACGTAACTCCCATCTGTTTAGTGGAAGTTAAAATAGGAGACTAATATGGGATTTTCAGAGCCCGAAGCTTGGACAGAAATGTCAGCACGGGTCATTTCTGACGGCTGTTTAAAACATGAATTCTGCAGAACTTACTGGTGTAGAAAAAGGGGTCACTCTTAGGAACTCACTGGCAGAGGCTTTGTTACTGAGATGATTTTCAGGGAGACTCAACACATGTTTATGTATTCATTTTCTTCATTTGTATGTTTACACTCGTAACTTATTTTCAAGACTAGTTCAGTGTTCATGAAGTGCCAGATGGTCATGAGCAGACCCTGACTATCTCTGGTCAGCGTACGATTATTGTCACTCTTGTTTGAACATGCACATGATGATTATCTTGTTAAAGAGGAAGGAGAAAGTACTGCATTTAGAATTGCTTTTTCTTCCCCCCCTCTTGAGGTGTCCCCCCCCCCAGGTGCTTTTAAGTAATATGAACTCATTAAGTCTTTTCTTTTAATTTTGTTTCTCAAAGTGCTCATTCATTTAAAAATAATGAATTTTTATCCCTATTTTTCGATTGAATTTCAGATGATACATAGGCCCATCAATAATTTTGCCTACCACAAGGAAGTTAGGCTTTTAAAAGTAAAGACTAACTAAACTAACAAGATCATAGTCACAATATTTCGTTTCCATTGACATTTTCGAAAAATTAAATGTGTTTAAAATTATAAAAGTAATGATCTCTCATCCTTCTGAAAAGAACGTCCTGTCTTACTTCCTTTGCTACTATATTCGGAAGATTAATTCCAGACAAATAGAGCCAGATATGTTTATATAGTCTTAAATGTTTATTTTAAAGCAGGATGTAGACAAACTGGGACGGACCCATAGGCAATGTCTGGCCTGCAGTCTGTTTTTGTAAATAAAGTTTTATTGTAACACAGCCACACCCCTCCGTTAACAGGACCACTCTCACATTAGAACTCAGAGCTGAGTGTTTACAGCAGCGACCATGTGACCCTCAAAGCTGAAAATACTCTCCGGCCTTTTGCAGAAAGAGTTTTGTTGACCCCCTATTTTAAGACATGGAGCACTTGTTGATTACTAATTCAGTTCTCCCAGTTGCTTAAAAAATACGATTTTGGAGGGATGACTCTCCACTTCTGCAGTCACCGCAGGTTGAACAGTAACAGCTCCGAGCTCTCCTGCCGGAGCCAACAGAACAAAGGCCTCTGGGGACCCTGGCACTAGGGTGGAGTGAAACAGCACTTCCTCTCCATCCTCTGCTCCAACCGAGAATGACCTCATGACTTTCTTTTTAAAACAACTTCAAAAACCTTTCAGTATTAACTCCAAAATATTATTGAATTTCATGAGTTTGAAAGGGCAGTCACGGAATCAGCCAGTCAGATCCCTGTCTTTCTGGAGTTACAGTTCTCTGGATGTTGATTTCTGATGTAACCCTCATCTCCTCGGCTTTCTACATTTCCGGAGGGGTGGGGTTGCTTGCTTTCAGGGGTTCTGTGCTCTCAGCCTTTGAATTTAGCGTGTCTGCTGTGTGCACTGTCAACGAGGGCTTATTAAATGAATGACTCTCTGGCTATTTAACTGCTTAGCTGTGTTTTTTATAGTTTCTTATAATGCAAATATTTAAACACAATTAATTATCTTTCTTACCCAGTTTACCTACGATACTAAAGATCTGGGCATTCAGGTGTTAAATTCATAAATTCACTGCTTATGTACAAGTGTGTGCTTATTTATTTATTTTTTACCTGGGCAGATACATGTCATACTTGAGTAGGTTTAATGTCCTGCTGGAGACTTTGGTGATAGGCTTTTAGTTGCCGTGCTTGTTCAAAAATCTGAACAGAGAATAGGAGCCCATGCGCAAGCCTGTGTCACACCTGGTCAGACCTGACTTGGCTATGCTAATGGACCTAGAGAGAATAGTGGGAGAACCCAAACCTATAGGTAATTCTGAAATCACACTTGCTTTGGAATGTAACTTGGAGTGTGGATGTCAGATGTTCTCAACGTGAAAATGCTTTGAAAGTATTTCTGAGAAGCATTTACAAGAATAAAAGAGTATCTTTCGTCACTACCTGGCAAAGAGATTGAAAAGTTGTTCAGCAACCCCATCTGCCTCTGTTCCTAACCCTTCTCTGCTTTCAGAATGTAACATAAAAATCTTACACTGCCTGCCCTTCACGACCTTGCCTGTAGAGGGCTTTGCATAGAGTCTGGCAGGACTTCTAATCTTGAGTCTCCGAACCCCTCAGTGGGTCATCCTGGATAGATGAGTGAAAGACACCATGCTGGTCCGTTGAGTCTGTTGGGTAGTGAGGTAGTTTAATGCAATGTAGGGGATATAGAAACTTACTTTTCTCCCGCCCAGGGTTTCTTCTAGTTGGCATAGGAATTAAATTGATATAAGAAACATAAACAGGGAGAAAAAACCCAAAATTTTATTATGTGGACATGGAAATCCAGTGATGAAACTAAAACCCCAAGAAATGACCAAGGCAGGCAGTTTTTACACATTTTAGACAAAAAGAGTAAATTTGTGAGGCATTGACAGGATAAAGAAGAGAGGTATTGGGGAGTTTTAATTAGTAAGGAATTCTAAGCAGAATTTAGGCTGAAGTAGTAGGTGAGAAAAACAACGAGGAGGCTTATTTCTGTAGCTTTTCAACTTTCAGGTCTCTACCTCCGATAATAAGGATTTTTTTTTTTTTTTTACTTCTTAGTACAGGAGAGTCATTTTCATAGGGGAAATTTTTTCTGGTTTTCACGGGGACAGAGGAGGGTCTCAGTATCCTTTGAGCGGATTGACTCCCAAGTAGCTTCAGTTCCTAATAAGCCATATGCTATTGTACGTTTGGGGACAGCCCACTCTGGGCGCCACATCAGTGTGTTATGCTAATGTCAAGGTAGGGGTAAAGCTCCCTACCTTGGTTCGTGCATGTGAGCACGCATGGTGATGTCGTGGCGCCGTTGTGAACTGGAACCTGAATCTTTTCTCCTAATAACCTCACTCTGGCCCTTACAAATAGAAGGAAGAACTGAGGGCAGATTTATATTGAACTTAATAACAGAGCTAGCTGTGACGTTAGTAAACACCCCAAAAGGGCCTTTAGGGTCACACTTTCCATCCACTTTCCTGTTCTCATAGAGGGCACATGACTTCTGAAGAACCCAGGGCTTTGAAGTCAGAAGCTGCACATAGTTTGTTATGTAAATGCAGCAACTGAGGTGAGGTTTGTCCCCTTGCAAAATCCGTTCTCTGATCATGAATGATGGTCACTTAAAGTGACCCCGTTCCGAAGGGTAATGTTTTAGTGATTTTTAAGCTTTACAGGTTCCTCTACTGTGGAATTTCAGGCACAAGAGGGTTGAGGTGAAAGGATTCTTTTTGATGTTTGCGTGGGTGTGCATTTGTAAACCTTCCCAAACGTCCTCCAAAAGCCATCACATATCTTTTTTCTTTTCCTCTTATGCTTTTTTTTTTAATCCGCCCCCTCATAGTGCATCAAAACCTATAACTCTGACTGGCATCTTGTGAACTATAAGTTTGAAGATTACTCGGGAGAGTTTCGACAGCTTCCAAAGTGAGTAAATGGTCACACCACACAAGGTGGGGTTATACACATGGGCAACAATTTTTTGCACTTGAAATGCTTAGAGAGGTATATAATATGCAACTTCATATGCAATCAGAGTAATTGGAGAAAATATTTCTAGATGGTTTATATGTATAAAGAATAGCTGTGATTTTCAGGGTATTCAATAGTAGGACTCAAACCTCACACTCTGGGGTTGGTAAATGGTTAAAAAAACACATGATTTATTTGTGTCCAGTGGTTCTTTTCAGGATATGGCGCAAAGCACAGCAGGTAATGTACTGTCAGTGAGAAATAGAAGACCAAGAAAACGTAAATGCTACAGTGTGTTTTATCTTTGAAAGAATATTTTGAAGAGACATAAGCACTTTATAGTGAATAAGTTTTATGTTAAAAAAAAAAAGTAAATCAAAGAGCAAACATTTCCCCCAGACTATTTTTTCTGCATTCTTTAAAGTGTTAACGCATTCTGGAATACACCAGAAACAAGGGTGTGTGTATAGATTAGTCTTCATTAAAGTGAACCACGGGTAGGTTGGTCTTGCCTTGAGAGGTTATGTTACCAAATGGTAAATCGTGAAATGATGCAGTTGGTAAATTTAGGTAGAGCTGATTATGAAACCCGAGATCAAAATCAGATAACGATGGGTTGTATTTCAAAAGTAACCATTGCCAATGAAAATTTTACCTATAATAGGTCTCCTCTTTGTTTTGTGGCATCTATGAGTTTGAACCATTGGAACTATTCCCAGTGGACCCTGCTGTTTGTTTTTCCTATTTGTGTGGTTCAGCCACTCCTTAAGAGTGCTCAGCTAACTTCCCGACAGACTGTTTTTGAACCTCAGCTCAAATCACTCCCTTCCCGCATTATCTTCTCCAGATGGGTATGCTCCTTAGTTCTATACTTACCCAGTACTTACTTGGGGCTTTTTAAGTTCTTTCCATTTGATTGGATAACCTATCTTCACTGCTAGTCTGGTTCGCACCATTCTCCTGGCTATCGTAGAACAGACTATGAGATGTAGTGAACTTCCTGGAAGGGACCCTTTCACCACTGGTCGATTTCATCTTTGGCATTAATAATTTTCCAGTTGTGTGGTAAGAAAGAGAGGGAGGATTCTAACAGTTATTAACGTAGATTCTGTACTCTGTCTGCATCTTCTGCTCACTCTGCCCTCTGTGAATCTCGGTCTTTTTGTCTATTAAATTGTCATGACACCAGCCCCCATCATGTAAAGGACTGAAGGAGATAGTACATGTGAAGCCCAGTGCTTAGATCATACTGTTTAATAAATGCTGGCCACCATTACTGTGCTTTTGTTAACACTGTCGTCATCAAGACAGGGCCTCCCACTCTGAAGGCCATGGCCCCATTTCCCATTTTCTCTTATAAACTTCATTTTGAAAGTAATTCTACTGGGGTGCCTGGCTGGCTCAATCAGTTAAGTGTCTGACTCTTGATTTTTGGCTCAGGCCATGATCTCAGGGTTGTGAGATTAAGCCCCAAGTTGGGCCCTGAGGTCAGCGTGGAGTCTGCTTGAGATTCTCCTTCTCCGCCTTCCCCCGCTCGTGGTCTCTCTCTCTCTCTCTCTCTCTCTCTCTCAAATAAATAAAATAAATCTTTTTAAAAAAAATTTATTCTACCAAGTCTTATTTATTAATAGACTTCAACTTTTTTTTTTTTTTAAAGTAGGCTCCATAGAGCCCAACGTGGGGCTTGATCATGACCCCAAGATAAAGACCTAAGCTGAAATCAAGAGTACACACTCAACCAATGGAAACACCCAGATGCCCCTACACTTTCCCATTGTCAGTATATTTATGCCAGCTTTTCTCCATGGCCTTTGGGGGTTTTTTATCTCTGGGATCACCCACTTTGCAAAGCAGTAGTGCTGGTTCTTTCTGTTCTTCAACTGAGTGGGCCAGCTTTGGATTTGTTAAATGGTGGTTCCTCTGATGGGGGAAGAAATGCATGGATTATTAAACAAATTTATTTCTTCTCTTTGAAGTAAAGTGGCCAAGTTGGATAAACTTCCAGTTCATGTCTATGAAGTTGATGAGGAGGTTGACAAAGATGAGGTAGGTGATCGCTTGCAGACTTAAAATTTGATTTTGTTTATAGATTTGCAAGATTGGTTGGAAAATTACCAGCATTTAGCCAAAAGAGGAGTTGGAATGTTTCTTGAAACAGGGGAAGAATTTTTTTTAAATGTATTGTTGGATTGATTGAAATAAAGTCTCCCTTTCAACTTGACTGCTTAGTGGTACAAGTTCTTCTTATCTTGTTTATTTGTTCTGAGATCATTTTCAAAGGCCTGGATAAGATTTGGCTACATTGTTAAAAAATATCAAGATTACTTAGACCTTAAGTTTAATTTGTTTTTCAACAGAATATCTTGAAACAAACCAGTAGACTTTAAATGGCTCTTTCTTCAGTAATGGCTTTGAGTGAAGTATATGGTACCAAGAAGCTTTGCTTTTTCTGTCTTGTCTTTAAACAAGCCCACTCCCCCTGCTCTTAGAAAAGTGCATAAAGAGAACTGAGCATTAAGATGACTGAACAAGGGACCTACTAAAAAGTCGATTCAACCTGTTTATCCATTTTTCATTCTCCCCATTAGATGCCTCATTGTGAGTTGGGTGGGGGGGTGTCCTTATTGATTGATTGATTCATTGATTATCAGCTAAACCATAACACCAGCCATTCAAGAATGTTAAAACATCCATGGTAGCAAATTATTTTAGAAACCACTCACAAAATAATTCTCAGAAGAGTAAGTAGTCATCCAAAATGAAAAGATACTAAAAAAAAAAAACAACAAAACTTGATGCTGATTAGTAGTTTAAAAAAAAAAAAAAAACTTGAACCAATTGAAATAATGCATGTAAGGGCACACAACAAACAGTAAAATCCTGGACAGGTAAGTTATTTCTCTTATTGCTAATAATAAGAACATTAAACCACCAATATTAATATTGAGATGGTCTAAAACAAAACCTAAGATGGGTCTTTCTGCAATTGTCTACTTGATTATAGCAATAAAGATGATTCTTAGAGACTAGTCTTCGGAGGTGTGAGCCAGGTAACGTGACTCTGTGTGGCCCTCTCTTCCCACTGACCGTACTGAAGTGTCCAGTGGCCTCTGCCTTCGAGGGGCGAGGAGACTTCAAGGGAGCCTCATGAGGGAGAGTGTGGAGGGGCCTGAGTCGGCGTGCAGCAGATTGGCCACACTGTGTGTGTGTACACATGTCATCTGTCTGTCTGTCTGATGTACGCGTGAATGCCTCATGTATTTTCAGCAGCACCCGGTGGGCCCCACGCTCACCTCCCTACACCAGAGCCCACAGCTCAAGTCAACCTGTAGCAGAGAGTCTCTTTGTTTTTCTAGCCATGTCCCTTTTCTGACCCCTCCTCCCTGTTGTCTCTTTGCCCTCTTGTCTGTCTTTCCTTCCGTGCTGTTGTCCCCTCCCTTTCTTTCATCCCTTCCTTCTCTCTGTTGCCTCCTGTTTCCTTTCTTTCTTCATTCACCTTACCCTGAACTGAGCCTCTGGGAAGTTTTCCAGGAATTTGCTTTTGTCCTCCAATTATAGGGGAGTATAATTTGAAAACATTTTTCCTGAAACCAGGCGAGACCTTACAACCTGAGCGGTCAAGTATGGTATGTACTTTCTGTGGCTCATTAAATACTTAAAAATTTGGATTGGAGCTAGCTTTGCGTTTTAATGGGCTACAGCTTTTTCAGGAATTTAGGCTTTTCCCTCTCTCTGACTGCCAAGTGGACTCTAAGGTGACTTGTAGCAGGTGGTGACTCTAGGGAAAGGGCAGGGTGGGGCAGCCTGGCACGGATGGAATGATTTTCCTGTTGACCAAACTCACAGCAAGTAGGATTAGTAGTAGTAGGAGCTTGACTGTGGTTTGCCTTCTCTCCTAGGATGCTGCCTCTCTTGGCTCTCAGAAGGGCGGGATCACCAAGCACGGCTGGTTGTACAAAGGCAACATGAACAGTGCGATAAGCGTGACCATGAGGGTAAGGAGGCCTGTCACCCCGCACTCCCTGCTCATTAAGCCCTCTCTGCTATAGGTCTTGGGAATAGAGCTCAAAACAAATGGGTATGCTGTGCTTCCTGACAACGGTGACACTGGCTGCTTAGTAAGATGCCTTCCTGGTGCTCAACCCCCACTGGTACTGTCCCGTCTCCCCCCACCTCTCTGCTGCCCCCTCCACCCACCTGCGTGATGAGACCATGGTTGGGCTGGTGGGAGGGTGCAGTCACCAACATGGGCTTTTTTTCCATGGGTGCACAACGAGGGTGTTGCAGGGCTCCTCCAGGCCTGTCACCCAGGGGCTAAACCTAAGCCCTTTGGAGAGGTCTACTGTGACAAAGTCAGAAAGGCAAAACTTGAGGAAGGGAAAACCGTTAGATTCGAAGGGGGTTGCAAAGAGAAGTGCAAAAGTGGTATAAAAAGCCACTCAGGAGAGAAGTAGGACCAGAGAAAGACCAGGATAAATAATAAAGAGGGGAGAAATAATGGAAGGGAGGATGGACAGGGAGATGAAAAAGAGTTCAAGGGAACTGCTGACCGTGGTGATCCTGAGGCTGGAAAAGCATTCAGTGTCACGAGGCAGAGAAAAGTTCCTGTTCTGTGTGAGCAAGAGACCCTGGGGAGTTGAGAAAGTTTCCATCCTTCTGTGCTGCATCCCAAATTGGAACTCACTGCACTGCTTTTGGGTGGTTATGTAAAAATATCAAATTCTGTGGGTGAGAAAAATGACCCATGCATGTTAAGTGAACCACCGCCTCAGAATTTAAATGTACTGAAAGTATTAAATGTGATGGAGAGTCTTAACTCACCATTACCTGGGGCGCTAGCCAGAATTGGGTTGGTTTTGGAGAGAACAGAAGTGGTTTTTACGTATGTATACAGCTGTAAGTTATCGATAGACATTGGGATTCTTTTCATTTTGGAACAATAGCTGTGTGTGTGTTCTTCTCTCAGTCATTTAAAAGACGGTTTTTCCACCTGCTTCAACTTGGTGACGGATCCTACAATTTGAATTTTTATAAAGATGAAAAGATCTCCAAAGAACCCAAAGGATCGATATTTCTGGATTCCTGTATGGGCGTGATTCAGGTAACTGTGATTAGGGTTCTGTCCTGGAGTTTTCTTACTGTTAAGAGTGCCATCTGTGAATGCGCAGAGTTAAGCACACGCTTCCAAGAGTGGCAGTGTTTGGGGTGGGAATAAAATAGCTCACTGTCAGGTGAGTAAAGACTTGTTTCTCAACATGATGGAAGCTGGCACAGAAGGCCGGCCGAGTTCAGTTGTAGTGGGCCTAGCACCCTGGCGTGCGAGTTCCTGTGTTTCAGACGTGGCTCAGCCGCTTTGCAGCTGTGTGACCTGGGACAGGCTGTTACCAAAAGTTTCTTCATATGTAAAATGTGCATAATGATTGTGTGTCCTTAATAGGGTACGTTGAGAGGTCTGGATGAATTAATTCGGAAATAGCCAGAACAGTTCTTAGCCTCTCAGTGGTGACTTTTACCACTACGGTCATTGTACCAATAGCGGGTGGTCACAAAACACTGGCTTTCAGATAAGACTGTGGTCAGATCCCTGCTCTACCACTTACTGGCTGTGTCATCTCGGAGACATCATTGATCCTCTCTATGCCTCAGTTTCCTCATTTGTTAAACGGATAATTGTCAAATATGGTTACTGAGAGGATTAATTAATGTACATAAAGAGCTTTTTTAAAAAAAAAAGGGATGCTTGGGTGGCTCAGTCGGTTAAGCCACTGCCTTTGGCTCGGGTCATGATCCCAGGGTCCTGGGATCGAGTCCCGCATCGGGCTCCTTGCTTGGCGGGGAGCCTGCTTCTCTCTCTGCCTCTGCCTGCTTGTGCACGTGTGCTCTCTCTCTCTCTCTGACAAATAAATAAATAAAAATCTTAAAAAAAATATATATGTATCCATATACATACATATATATACATACATAAAGAGCTTAGAACAGTGCACTGTTCTAAGTGCACTGGAACAGAACTGTTAGAACTAGAACAGTGCACTGGCACATGGTAAGAATTCAGCCAGTATTAGATATTTTTGTTACTACTGCGCTAATGCAGTTGCGGGCTTACTCTTTTTTTTTTTTTTTTTTAATTTTATTTATTTATGAGAGAGAGAGAGTGAGCATGAGCAGGGAACCCAATGCGGGGCTGGATCCCAGGACCCTGAGATCACTACCTGAGCCAAAGGCAGACACTTAACCAACTGAGCCACTCAGGCGCTCCAATTGTAGAGTCATTCTTAAAATTATTTGTGATCACGCATAATGCACTCCTATTATGATGTACTCATAAAAAAATATCAGACTGTGCAGATAAACTGAAGGTTCCCCCCCATCCCAGTCTCTCCATTTCTCGCAGAGCTGCTGTTACCAGTTTGATGTAGGTCCTTCCATACCTAACTGAATTGTCTTTGAAAGCAAGCTGCCAGTTTCCCAATCTGCCCACCCCTCCACCTGCTCCCTGGCCATTTTCCAGGATGATCTAAGGCAGTAATTTACAAGGATCCATGAAACACAGGATCCTGTGAATTTGAAGTGGGTTTGAAAGCAGGAAGGTGAGTAGGGAGGAGATGAGAGGAATTAGCTAAGAAAAAAAAGCAAAGGTGCTAAAGAGACCTGATACCTGCTGTGGGTGGGTGGCAAACTGGCCTCTGTGTTTTCTCCCTGGGAAACCCGCTTAGCACAGTGCACACGGTTGCAAACAGTCCAATTAGTCAGAAGCTGTCCGAGCCATCCCAGAATGAAGATCATTCAGACATTTCTCATGGGGGCCTTCAGACAGAGGGCTCTGTGCAATTAATGAACAATCTCCTTGACAACTCCTCACAATAGAAGCAGTCACCATTATCAGAGAATTCGTCCTAAAAATGACTCAATGTTGGCTGATGACATTGGCCCGAAGCTCGGTTCTATAAGAAAGGTGGTTTTGTGGGGCCAGTGTGATTGAGGTTGGAGACACAGCTGTCTGGTTTGACTCTCTGGTGTGTGTGCTTGTGTATGTACTCACATGTGTAAGATTAAATTGCATTTTTAGCCCAGTAATACATTCCTCTGGGTCAAACAGTCAAACAGTGCAAAAAGGCAATATGCCCCACCCACTCCTCACTCCCCTGAAATGATCACTTTACCGTTTTTGCTTCGTCCTGGGGCTGGGCCTCCTTAATGCGGGATGAGGCACGTCTGCTGGTTTTTATTCCACAGTTGTGGACATTTTGTGATGGTAGGTGGCATTTTAGCTCCCGCAGGCCTCCCTCCTGCTCTAATCTAGACTGATTGCTTTCTCAGACTCTGGAGAGCCGTCACTCTCTGCCTTCGTCCCTGCATTGGATTCCCTGTTTTCGAGATCCCGTGTCCTCTTCAGTCTTTTTTGACTTTCTTGTTTTGGAGGCACACATCCTCCAAGTAGCTCCAGAGAAATCACGTCTGAGTTGCTGATATCTTGAGCGTTAACTTACCTGCAAATATTTTCGGTTTTGCGTTCATATTTGATTGAAAGGTTGAAATCCAAGGTGAAATTCACCCTAGAATTTGAAGACACTCCATTATCTTCTGGGTGCTCATGTTCCTTTGGGGGTCTGCTGCTATTCTTAATCCCTATTCTTCTCCATCTTCTCTTTACCGCTAAGGACCTGAAATTTAGGTTAGTTTGTCTCATTTTGATTTTTTTGGTAAACTTTTTTTTGTTAAGGCATAACATGCAAATAGAAAATGTACACATGATGTATGTGTGCCTCTGTTTGCTACTAAATTGGGGTTTCTTTTGTCTTATGTGCTACGAACTGTGGGAGAGCTCTCATTCTGGAAACTGTGTCCTGTATCTTGGTCTTCTTGAACTCTGGTCAGTCTCATTAACTCGGGGAGACTGCAGGCCTCTTCCAGGTTCCCCCTCCTGGGCCGCAACATGGATACTGCCTCCAGTGGAACGCTGAGGTGCTGCTTGGGCTCACCTCATTTACTTCCCGTCCATCAGGGATCCCCCGCCTGCCCTACCTGTTGTCAGATATCTGAAGACAGTTGTTTTCATCGATTCTGCTCTGTTTTCTAGTAGTTAACGATGGGAGAATAAATCCAGATCCTGTTATGTCATCAGGCCAGCAACAGAAGTTAGGGGTCCAGACTCAGATGTCTGCAGGAGCCAAGCAGGAAAATTAAGTGAAAGGAGAGGCCTGAGTGTAGAGTAGGAGGGAATGCTGAGAACCATGACAAACAGGACCACAAATGGCCCCGTCTTGTGGGGCCTGTACCTCAGCTGTGGCTGATGCTGCTGGACAGAACTACGAGCTCAAGGTTGCCAAATGATCTGGTTTTTTTTTTTTTGCCCCAAGAAATCCAGAAATATAAAATTTTACTTAAACCTTGGTATTTTTAATTATTGGAAACCAGTTTAAAAACAAAAAACCCAAAACACTACTCAGGAGATACCCCCCTCCAAATGATGGAATCCATGAAGGTGTATTGGGGCCTTAGATCAAGGTGATGGCACCAGATAGCAACGTTCACTGAAAATTACCTTTGCGTCAACCGCTCACTGGCACGTGGGTGACTCTCGGCCAGAACCCCCCCCCCGCCCCCCGCCAGCTGAAAGCAGCTTTGGTAGAAACCAGATTGTATCAAAATAGTTTATTCACAGTGTAAAGTAGGCGGTACCAGAGTGAATTGTCAATGACGGTGAATTAATTTGCGTGGGATTTTCAAGTAGGAGTTTCATTTGTATTCTTGAGTTGAGAGACCTTTTAAGTTACTTTTCAGTTAAATCTTCTGGCATTGACTTTTAAAAGAAGTTTAAAACAAACTAAATCTATTAAGAGTTTGGTCACCTGCGTCACAGTGGTTAGGCGATGCGTCCCACATCCCTGGGCCATCACTCTGTCCTGCCGTGGCCTTTGTAACCTTAGCTTCTGACTTCAGGGGACATTGCTTTCTTCATATGCTTTTTGTAGACGTGGCCAGTGGTGTTTAGTGTTTAATGAATTGTAACCAAGACTTCAGAAATGTTAAGTAATTTGTTTTTATCCAGATTTGTTTGTAAGCTAAGTGCCAACAGTGTGTGTGTGTGTTTAAATTGTTTTTGGACATCATAATTTTTAAAAAGTAGCTGATGAATGCTATGGGTTCAAAGAAATGTATAAACTGGAATTTTCCTGAACGAAATCCCAGTGTAGAATCTTAAGGCCTCAAAAGCATTTTCAAACCTTGAAGTTGATTAGACTTATTTTCAGATCAGGATGCTGAGGCTGACATCTCCCCCACTTTTAACTTATTTTCATGGCTGTGAGTGGAACAGAAAACCCATTTCACAGCCAGGCGTTTGACTCCTGTCTGATTCTGGCCCTGACATGAAGGGCGGTGCCCACAGTGGGCAGGCTGTGCAAGGGAGTTTGACCTTGCCTGGCGTGGTATTATGCTGTGTGTGTCTGAGAAGTACGCTTCCGAAGAACACAGCCCGCCTTGGGGAGGGTCAGCCCATCCCTGCCGCCTATGCTGAACAGCCCTAGGGGACTGCAGCTAACCTGCGAGCATCTAGTGGGCCTGGGCTGCTCTGCCCCCTACAGGTTGTCCTCAGTTTGTGCATGCAAGGACCTAATCACAGTCCTGGGCTGAGCTGCCGTCTAGTGCTGTCCCTTGGTGGGGTGTGTGTGTGTGTGTGTGTGATTTTGCTCACCAGGGGAGGTTTGTTACTATCTGGAGACATGTTCTGATCTTCACAACTGGGATTATGCTCCTGGAATGTAGTGGGTAAGGCCAGGGGTGCTGCTAAACATCTTGCAATGCACAGGACAGCTCCCACAGCAAAGAATTATCAGCCCTGAACGTCAGTAGTGCCAAGGTTGAGAAACCCTGACATGAGCACATGCATTCTCATCATTTAAAGCATGTGGCTTCTGTTTTTGTACTTGGATCTGGGCATTCTTTTATACATATAAAAACTGGAGGCAAGAGGGAAGGCTGTAGACATGGTATCCAAATACCTTTGGTGACTCAAAAATGATGGAAAAGTTCCAGAAAAGGAAGTCAAGTATATCGATAGATAATGGTTTGTTTTTTTTTTTAATTGTGGTTGTCTTTTAAAAATATACCACACACTATTTCATCAAAATTAAAAAAAAAAAAAGGGAGCTGGAGGAGTTGAAAATTTTCAGTGAAATTTCTCTCATTCAATAAATATTTTTTCAAGAGCCTGTTGTGTGCCAGACAGTATTCCAGAAATACAGCTGTAGCCTTGAACAAAAGAAATCTCCATCCTAAGGAGCTCTCGTTCCATTTGAGGAGACAGACAGCAAATAAGATAAATATGTAAAATGCATAATGTGTCAAATGGGAAAATAAAATTATGGATACAGTAAAAGCAGGAAGGTATAGATGGTGATGGGGTCTGCAGGGAAGGGGCTTGCCCCACATGCCAATGAGGCAGCACCTGCCAGCAAATAATAAAGAGAAAAAATTTTAAGGCCATTCCCCTTCTCTTAAAATGTGTCTCTTTTACTCCTTTTCAATTCCAGAACAACAAAGTCAGGCGGTTTGCGTTTGAGCTCAAGATGCAGGACAAAAGCAGTTACCTTTTGGCAGCAGACAGTGAAGCAGAAATGGAGGAATGGATCACAATTCTAAACAAGATTCTCCAGCTCAACTTTGAAGCTGCAATGCAAGAAAAGCGAAATGGAGACTCTCATGAAGGTACGTAGATCTGCTTTCTCACCAACAAAGTTGGTGTCTTTAATTTTGTCATAGGGCACAGAAGTAGACATACTGCATAGGTACATGAGCAGTGGGACAGATGGGAGCTCTGCAGAGAGCTTGTCAGTGAGGGTTTTATTACATTGGAATTTACAACCCTGACAACATTTTTATCAGGAAATCATGTAATGGGAAGAACCATGGCTTTGGGGGCAGAAAGGAAGACGGGAGTTCAAATCTCAGCAATACCATTTTTTGGCTCTGAGACCTTGGGCGAGCTACTTCCATATTCTGAGCCTTGGTTTACCCATCTGTGAAATGGGAATAAAATGGAACTTGCTGGTTGATGGGAGGATTTAATAAGATTATGTATCTTGAGTGGCTGGCATAGAGTCAGCACTTAAAATACTAAGTATAGTTATTTCTATTACCGTTAATCTTAATCCTTTAGAATTTTAAAGACAGAGTTAATATGGGCAATTTGGTGGGAAAAACCTGGCTATGTTCTTGACAATTTGTGTTTTATTTCAAGCCCTTAGACACATGATTCTCAACCCTGGCTATACCTTAGAAGTTCCTGGAAACTTCAAAAAAATTCTGTTTCCTTTGTCCCACCAGAGACTCTGATTCAGTTGGCCTGGGGTGGGACCTGGGCAGGCCTGACTTTTAGTGGCTCTGATGGATGTGGCCATGTGGGCTGGTGCTTTGTTCTTTCTAGACAGTGTCCATACTGTATCAGTTATTAAATGTTTGACTCTCAATCCTGGGCATCAGTATTTTTTTAAGAAGCTCTGAGGTGTTTTTAATTGATATCCAGATATCCTTGTGTTCAAGGGTGCAAAGGAGAAGTGGCCTTTGATTTCCTGCTTTAAATAAAATACATTCAATTACAAGTGACTCAAATAATTTGTTTTGCAATTTCAGATGATGAACAAAGCAAATTGGAAGGGTCTGGTTCTGGTTTAGATAGCTACCTGCCTGAACTTGCCAAGGTAATATCATCCGCTTCTTCTGCTCTTTATAGATTGGTATTGAAATATTTCTCATTTCCTGAGTCTGTCCAGGATAGAATCTGTTGAAATGATCAACAGTTACATTGTAGTAAATCATTAAAAAGATGTTGTGCTTTCTATTTTCTGAGCTGAATATGAAGTGAGGTTAAATACTGACCTGAATCAAATTTTAGTCTGTTTTCCAGAAAGTGCCTTATAAATTATTCTCTTTTTATTATTCCTTGTTCCTGCCCCTCCATAATATTTAATACCAAATCACAGGTATTGAAGAAATAACAAAAATGCACAGATAAAGGTTCCCGTGTTTTGTTTTTTAAAGATTTTATTCATTTATTTATTTTAGAGAGTGTGGGGAGGGTAGGGAGAGGAGAGGGGCAGAGGGAGAGGATCTCAGGCAGACTCTGTGCTGAGCAAGGAACCTGATGTCGGGCTCAATCTCATGACACTGAGATCATGTCCTGAACCAAATCAAGAGTCAGACGCTTAACCAACTAAGTCACCCAGGTGCCCCTATTTATTTATTTTAGAGAGAGAAAGTAGGAAGGGGGGGGCAGAGTGTGAGGGGGAGTCTGTAGATCTCAAGTAGAGTCCTCACTGAGCAAGGAGCCTGATGCCGGGCTTGATCCCAAGACTCTGAGATCATGGTCTGAGCTGAAACTAAGAGTCAGACGCTTAACCCACTGAGCCACCCAGGTGCCCCAAAGGTTCCCATGTTAACCTGGTACTCACTGTGTTCACACATGTGCTCCCCTTTTTCAAGTCAGTAGACACACTTCCAAAGAGGATGGTCTGTGGCAGTCTTGCCATTAAACCAAAGAGGGGTTGCCTGAGTTTGAGTTTTATAAATTGCTCCTGGGTCACTCTGAATGAAAAAAAAAAAAGTTATTATTTGTTTTTAATAATTTTGAGAAATGTGAAAGTTACCGAAAAGCACAAAGAAGATCAAAACAACCGTTTGTATTCCCACGACCCAGATTCAATGCTGTTACTCTATTGTCCTTTTAGCTTCCATATTTTTTAAAGAAATAAAACACCAGTTGTGGTTTAAGTTTTTTTTAAACACCATTCTTCCTCCCCTGCGACCTCAACTGTTGACAGTCACTATTATGAATTTTCTGGGATTACTTCAGTTTTATTGCTTTATCTTCACTAATGTACCTATCATAATGATACATATGGTTGTGTTTCATGTGTTTAAAAATGTCATATGAATGCTAACATGTGATTCTGCACGTGCTTTCTAATTCAGCGTTGTGTTTGAGATCCATCAAAACTGGTTATAGACTAGTTCATCCCTTTTCTTGTGCCATGTAAGCATTTCATTTTAGCTGTTCTCTTCCAGTTTTTTCTGTTACGAACAATGCTACAATGAATATCCTTGTATTTGTCTCCTGATACGCATCTATGAATGATTCTCTTTTAAGTGAGAGAAATATCTTTGTTTTCTCTGGCCATTTATATTCTTGCTCTGTTACTGCCATTCTATTCTTTTTCTTTGCGACTACAGTGTAACAGAGACCCTACACACCCACATCTTAAACACTGTAATAGAAAACATGGTTTATCTATATACGATTATAAATAGACTCGCATTCAGCATTGACCTTTACTTTAAGACAACATGGCTATTCTAAAATGTAAAATCTCCCTCCCTGGCTAGGACTTGAGAGTATTGTTTTTCTTCAAGACTTGACTGTTACCGCAGTATCTTTTTAGCACCTGCCTATTAAAGCTAATTTTAGCACCACCATTGTAACCTCCTACTCAGCTGGGAAGGGTTTTGGCCTGTGTGTATGTGTTTTTGTGCTGTGAACTTCTGTGTGTCATATTTTGCATGGAGATTTGCTTTTTTGTTTCTGGATGTTTGGGGGCTCATAATTTCTCCAAAGTGTTTGGACTTGTTTTACGAAGCAGCCGACATAGGCACTACAATCCAGAATTCGAAAAGTAACTTCCTACACTTACTGGTTGAACACAGTGGACACCTAGGAGAAGACTAATGTTGATTAAAAATCTATACTTTTCTTTTCCCCGTGAAGACATACAGGAGTTGTGCCCTCCTTTCTTCTCTCACTTCCTACCTGGGCCTGGTCAGCATAATAATTCAGTATTTCTCAGTCCTAGGACCTAGGAAAGTTTTTAAAGTATATATGAGAGAATATAGAGGTAACATACCTACATATGTATTTGGGACTATTTTCAGACTGTGCATAACCACAAAACAGAATCAGTTGGTTAAATCCGTTTAATTGGTTTCAGCCCCCATCTCTTTTTATTTTGTTTTATTCTTCTTTTTTATTGAAGTAGAACTTACAAGGAGCACGAGTTGTATCGCTCAGTGGATTTCACATTTCTGCACCTGCATAACCAGCACCCAGGCCCACACATAGCACATTTCTGGCACCTCAGCCGACGGTCTTGCCCACCTGTCCCAGCCGCTACCCCATTGCTTTCACCTCTGTCACTGTGGATTAGTTGTGACTGTTCTGGTTCTTATTAGTGGATTGTACAGTACCCGTCAGGCTTCTTTAGCTCAACATTATGTGCGCCAGATATTTTAAATACAAATGGAAAAGAACTGAATTTAAAACATTAACTACGCTGCCCTCAATAATGACAGGTACTATTAAAAAATTTTTTTTAATTAGGTAATCTTTGTGCCCAGTGGGGGCTCAGATTCACAACCCCAAGATCAAGAGTCAAATGCTCTACCAGCTGAGCCAGCCAGGGAGCCCAGCGATAGATAATATTTTTAAAAACGTACATAATGTGGTATGTGTGTATGTATTGGGTTGTGATTTAAATGTATTTCTCACTGTGGTCATGGTCAAAGCCCGAAAAAAGTATTATCAGGGGCTTCACTGTTATTTTTCCCCTTAGCTCTTAAGTGTTTAAAAAAAAAAACTACTTCTATTTAAGAAGGTAGATAAAGGGCAGCATGTAACTTTTCAAAGGGAGAAATTAAAAGAATAAAGACACTGAGGACATGCCGTCACACAGTCCACATGCTGCTGTCCCGCTCGTGATGCTCATGTGGGTGTGGTAGTGGTGTTGGGGGGCAGCTGGGGGAGCCCCGGCCCGACTGTGCCCCCAGCATAAGGATAATTGTAGCCTAGTTTATAACCCTCTCCAGTGTTTCAGGGTGGGGGCCTTTTGTGCCTGTTAAGGAAGCAGGGAGTTGACTAATAGCGGGTCCTCTTGATCTTAGGAGGAACGGTTCCATAGTTGCAGAATCCGAAGTTGACGTAGAGGGGGAAGGGAGGGGAAGGAGAGCCTGTGTGCACACCTATGCAAGGGAGGGCAGTTTAATCGGGATGAAGAGGTAAAGAGGTCAGCACTGGGAATAGAGGGGTAGGGAAGGGTCCAGCGGGAGATGAGAAGTAAGCAGCAGAGAAAGGACATGAGCCGTCGCGGCGGGCAGGGCGTGTTGGCGGTGGGAGTGAATGGCGGGCTCCTCTCTGCGCAGCTCCTCTTTCTGCTTCACTCATCCTGTTGCCCTGGCTTTTGTCTTCCACTGTGACCCAGACAGAACAAACAGGATATGAATGACAGGAAGTTGTTTTAGTACAAAAATAACTGAGGTCTCATTTTGGAATATAATGGTGGGGCCCTTGACATATGGCAAGGGCGATATGGGCTTAGGTTTTCAGAATATGTTGTGTATTCTTGGCCCTTGTGTGGCTTGTACATTTGGTACTGAACATCTTTATTGTTTTCTTATTGAAGACCCAGTGTATCTGCCCTGAAACTTGTTCTTTTCCTCCTATTGTCTAATATGGAACCGAATACATGTTCGTTGTAACAGCATTTGTAGTATCAGAGCATGTAGTCTTTTTTTTTTTTTTTTAAGGTTTTATTTATTCATCTGACAGAGAATAAGCAGGGGGAGCGGCAGGCAGAGGGAGAGGGAGAAGCAGGCGCCCGCTGAGCAAGGAGCTTGGGACCCTGGGATTGTGACCTGGGCCGAAGGCAGCTGCTTAACCAACTGAGCCACCCAGGCACACCTCAGAGCACATAGTCTTCAGCATTTTTATTAAATACACAAACTGTAAAGTTACCTAATTGGTTTCTTCCCTATATAGTCAAGGGTAATTAATCATGTTGTAAATCCAGTGGCTACTTATCTAGTAATTTCTTTCTGTGGTTATCTTTATCTTTATATCTTTATACCTGTCTTCGGCACGTATATATCACCTCCTAAGGAAAGTCGGAAGAAAACCCTTGTGCTCCCACTGTCTATTTTCCTTCACAGCTTTTCTCTTTTTGTGCTGTTTGGTACTCAGAGCACAGCAACTCACCTTCCCTTGGCCTCCCCACGGGGCTCTGAAAGAAGAGCTCTGTTTACTGTTAATGCACAATTGCTCGTGTTCAGTTAGCTGGTAACTTCTTTTTAGTGAGTGAACTTCTCTTTCAAGGTCGGTCGTCCACAGCTGAACACAGGATGGAGTCCTAGTTCTCCAACTGCCTAGTCTCACTGAGGTTGCGTGAGGGTGAGGCAGCCGGCCAGTTTCGCAGACACCTTCTCTGGCTTTTTTTTTTTTTAAGATTTTATTTATTTATTTGTTAGAGAGAGAGAGAGAGCGTGAGCACAGGCAGACAGAGTGGTAGGCAGAGGCAGAGGGAGAAGCAGGCTCCCCGCAGAGCAAGGAGCCCGATGTGGGACTCGATCCCAGGACGCTGGGATCATGACCTGAGCCGAAGGCAGCTGCTTAACCAACTGAGCCACCCAGGCGTCCCCTTCTCTGGCTTTTTGAAGCCACGTCTGGAATAGACGCTTCCTTCCCTGTATCCTAATCTAGGCAACGATGTCCTTGTATCATGACACAAAGCCGTTGGCTGGGGCTTGTGCTTGTGAGGTCGGGAGGCATTCCCTCTCTTGGACCTCCTTATTCTTTTTTTTTTTCTTTCTAATTTTTTAAAAATATTATTTTGAGAGAGAGAGAGAGAGAGAGAGAGCGCAAGAGCAAGTGCAATTGGAG